TCAGCCAGTACAAGGTGAGGGGCCTGGCCCCTGGTCTGGCACAGGCACCCCCAGCTCAGCCCTGCCACCCCTATCCCAGTCCTGGGACCCCCAGCTCAGCCCTGCCACCCCCATCCTGGCCCTGGGACCCCCAGCTCAGTCCTGTCACCCCCATCCCAGCCCTGGGATCTCCAGCTCAGCCCTGTCACCTGCATCCCAGCCAGCTCAGCCCTGCCTCCCCCATCCTGGCCCTGGGACCCCCAGCTCAGCCCTGTCACCCGCATCCCAGCCAGCTCAGCCCTGCTATCCCCGGCCCGGCCCTGGGACCCCCAGCTCAGCCTTGTGACCTCCAGCTCAGCCTTCCACCCCTGTTCTAGCCCTGTGACACCCAGCTCAGGCCTGCCCCCCCCCCAGTCCCACTCAGCTGGCACAAGGAGGGGCTCCGTCCTGGCTCAGCCCCGTGTCTCTGTGCGATTGCTCGTTGTCTGTGCCTCAGTACATCAGGAACTGCGTCGCCACTGGGCGCCTGCCCCACCTGATGCTCATGTCCAAGGAGAGTCTGTACAGCCAGCTGCCAGCCAATGTCTTCGTGCTGCCCTCGTACGCCCGCCGGCCCGGCCCCTCCACCCATGCCACCGGGGACCTGCCTGCCAAGTCCCTCTGGTCGGTCCCCAGTCTCCTACGCATCTGCATCGTTTGCGCCACCTACGTCAACGTCAACATCCGCGACATTGACAAGGCGAGCCTCTGGATGCCGGGGTCCTCTTCCACCTGAGGATGGGGGGGAGGGGTGAGGCTCAGAGTGGTGGGCTGGGAGCCAGGACTCCTGGGTTCTCTCCCCAGCTCTGGGAGGGGAGTGGAGGCTGGTGGGTCAGAGCAGGGGTGGCTGGGAGCCTGGACCTGGTCCCCTGGCATAATGGTTCCTTCTCTCCCATTCTTAGATCTACGTGCGGACAGGAATTTACCATGGTGGGGAGCCCCTCTGTGACAACGTAAACACCCAGCGCGTTCTCTGCTCCAACCCCAGGTAGCAGGGTGGGGGCTCAGCAGGGGGCACTCTCCCCTGGCAGGCAGAGGCAGGTGGGGGGCTGGGAGCAGTGTGGGGGACTCCATAAAATGGGGACTTGCCCCTGGTTACCAGAGGTGAGCCCCATCTCCGTCCCTCTCCTCAGGTGGAATGAATGGCTTTCCTACGACATATACCTGGCTGACCTCCCCCGTGCTGCCCGGCTCTGCCTCTCCATCTGCTGCGTCAAGGGCCGCAAGGGGACTAAAGAGGTAGGGAGACCTAGCTAGTTCAGGGAAGTGTCTTAGGAGAGCAGGGAATGGGACACGGAGACTGTCCCCTCAAGAGGACACCAGCTTCCCTCCGGTCGCAGGCCTTAGGGGGGTGGAAATGGAGGGCAGGCTGTCTGTGACCCCTTTTGGTCTCTGTCCCCCCACCCTGGCAGGAGCACTGCCCCCTGGCCTGGGGGAACATCAATCTCTTTGATTATAAAGACACCTTGGTAGCCGGGAAGATGGCGCTGAACCTGTGGCCAGTGCCCCACGGCCTGGAGGACTTGCTGAATCCCATTGGAGTGGGGGGCTCAAACCCCAATAAGGTGTGTGTACTCCTCCCTCTCCCAGTCCTACTGCTGCCCCTCACTCCTGACCCGCAGCTCCTGCCTGCCCAGCATCTGCCAGCCCAGCCCTGCCCCCCAGCCCAGCCAGGGCCCCTCACTCCTGACCCGCAGCCCCTGCCTGCCCAGCCCAGCCAGTGCCCCTCACTCCCGACCTGCAGCCCCTGCCTGCCCAGACTTGCTCCCCAGTTGTTAGTGCCCCTCATTTCCAACTCACAGCCCCTGCTAGCCCAGCCTGGGACTCCCCTCTGTGTCCTATTCCTCAGTAGGGTGTCTGACTATTAACCCCATCTTGGCCTGTCTGCAGCCTCGAGCCCAGTTGAGTCCCTCATGTGGTGATTGCCTGGCACTGCGGCCAACTTCTCTGCCTGCAGGGAGTGGGCAGCTGGCTGTTAGGTACTCGACCATGCTGGGCCAAAATGGTCAACCTAGCATGATCTGGCTATTCAGTTAGGGCCTATATAAGTACACAGGTCTGGCATGGTTTGGTTGTTAAGCTAGTGCCTATGTAAATACTCTGAGCTGGCATGATCTGCCGAGTAGGGCAGGGCCCTGCAATGACAGCCAGGTCAGCCCATGGGGAGGAAAAGCTTGGTAGGTGCTACAATAATAGTTCCGTTTGGCCCTTGTATGTGTTGTTGTAGGGCCTACATAAATTGGATGGCTCTGAGCACAGGATTTGTGAAGTGACTTATGGGTGATCCCGTTTGGAGGGAGGAGGGGGGCTGCTGAGGGTTTTCACCCACCATTTTACTCCCCTCTCCTCTCCCTCTCTCCCACCTGCCAGGAAACCCCCTGCCTTGAGCTGGAGTTCACCTGTTTCAGCCATGCAGTGAAGTTCGCTGATGCAGTGCAGATTGAGGAGCATGCTAACAGGAGCATGTTGCGGGAGCTGGGCCTCAACTGCTGTCTGGTGGGCCTGGTAAGGGGGGTCGTCCCTCCTGGAGGCACTGGCTTCCACCCAGCCCCAGGGCAGGGACTGGTTGGCTATGGGGGGCTGGAATTGGGGCAAGGGCCTGTCCCCTCTAGGGGGCACTGGCTCCCACCTGGCCCCAGAGCAGGGGATGAGGAGGGAGGCCAGGGGCTGTTTTTGGGTCTCCAGTAGCTGAGCACTGTGGGTGTTATGGAGGGACCCTCCCGCTGCATTCCCTGCAGAGTAATCGCCTGGCCCGGGACAGCAGCCTGCTGGATAGTGAACTGGAGCAGCTCCACAGCATCTGCCACCGTGACCCCCTGTCGGAGATCACTGAGCAGGAGAAAGATTTCCTCTGGAGGCACCGGTAGGCAGCCCGGACGCCTGGGTTCCCTCCTTGACCTGGGAGGGGAGTAGAGGCTAGTGGTGAGAGCATTGGGGGCTGGGAGCCAGGACTCCTAGGTTCTCTCCCCCATGATGCAGGGGGTGAGCGGGGAGTGGGGAGCACAACCCTGACACCCTCTGTTCTCTTCGCAGACATTACTGTGTGAACATCCCAGACACCCTGCCCAAGCTGCTGCTGTCTGTCAAGTGGAATTCACGGGATGAAGTGGCTCAGGTACGCAGGGTGGCACCGGCCCCTCCAGCCTGAGAACCCCCCAGCTTCCCTCTGGCCTGGTATCTCCTCCCTGACGGATCAGACCCAGGAGCCCCTCCCCTCCAGCCTTGGAGGATGGGCAGGAGAGCTTTGAACCTCTGTGCGTGCAGTGGAAGGGGCCACCCAAGCCTCTCTCTTTCTCCTCACTTGCCCTAGATGTACTGCCTGCTGCAGGAGTGGCCCCTCATCAAGCCTGAGCTGTCCATGGAGCTGCTGGATTGTAACTTCCCCGACCCCCGGGTCCGGGAATTCGCCCTCAAGTGCCTGGTTAAGGGGCTGACAGATGACAAGCTGAGCCAATACCTCATCCAGCTGGTCCAGGTACTGCGGCACCACCAGTACTGCTCTCCCTGCCCCACAGCACCCCCTAGCACCGCCCTGGGGCCAGCCTGCCTGCCAGGGGAGAGCGCCCCCTGCTGAGCCCCTGCCCCGCTTCCTGGCCCACAGCGCCCCCAGCAGGTCAGGGAGGTGCGCCCCCTGCTGAGCCCCTGCCCCGCTTCCTGGCCCACAGCACCCCCTAGCACCGCCCTGGGGCCAGCCTGCCTGCCAGGGGAGAGCGCCCCCTGCTGAGCCCCTGCCCCGCTTCCTGGCCCACAGCGCCCCCAGCAGGTCAGGAAGGTCTCAGCCTGTCTGTGTGGCTCCCCGGCAGGTCCTGAAGTATGAGCAGTACCTGGACAACCCACTGGCCCGATTCCTGCTCCGAAAAGCTCTGACCAACCAGCGCATCGGCCACTTCTACTTCTGGCACCTCAAGTGAGGGGCACTAGCAGAGCTGGGGGACTGGGGTAGCAGGGCTGCAGATCGGGAGTGAGGGGTGCTGAGAGGGCTCAGGGCTGGGCTGGCAGGGGCTGTGGGTTGGAAGTGAGGGGCACCGGAAGGGCGGGGGGAGCCCAGGGCTGGGCTGGCAGGGGCTGCAGATCGGGAGTGAGGGGAACCAGAAGGGCAGGGGGAGCCCAGGGCTGGGCTGGCAGGGGCTGCAGATCGGGAGTGAGGGGCACCGGTAGGGCGGGGGGAGCCCAGGGCTGGGCTGGCAGGGGCTGCGGGGCGAGCGCGAAGGGTGACTCTGTGTGTGCTACCCCTGCAGGTCAGAGATGCACAGCAGGACGGTGAGCCAGCGGTTCGGACTCATGCTCGAGGCATTCTGCCGGGGCTGTGGCATGTACCTGAAACACCTCAACCGGCAGGTGGAGGCAATGGAGAAACTTGTCAACCTGACAGACACGCTGAGGCAGGAGAAGAAGGATGAGACCCAGAAGGTCTGTGGGCCTTGGGACCCCCTCTGCTGGTGGTGGGGGGTGGGAACTCTGGGCTCTTCTTCCCACCTAACTGTCCTCTGTCCCCCGCAGATGCAGATGAAGTTCTTGGTGGAGCAGATGCGACGCCCGGATTACATGGATGCACTCCAGGGCTTCGTCTGTCCCCTGAACCCCGTCCACCAGCTGGGGAACATCCGGTGAGTCTGTCCCTGGTGCTCGGGAGTGGCTGGTGGGTTAGAGCAGGGGGTTGGAAGCCAGGACTCCTGGGTTCTCTCCCTGACAGGTCTCCCTACCCTGCAGGCTGGATGAATGTAGGATCATGTCGTCCGCCAAGCGGCCGCTCTGGCTAAACTGGGAGAATCCAGACATCATGTCGGAGCTTCTCTTCACTAACCATGAAATCATCTTCAAAAATGGGGACGGTGAGGGGGCTACAGGTTGGGAGTGAGGGGCATCAGCAGGGCGGAGGGAGCCCAGGGCTGGGCTGGCAGGGGATGCGGGTTGGGATTGAGGGGCAGCGTTGACCTCAGTCTGTCTGTATGTGGCTGTAGATCTCCGGCAGGACATGCTGACACTGCAGATTATCCGGATCATGGAGAACATGTGGCAGAATCAAGGACTGGACCTTCGGTACTGGGGTCCTTGCAAGAGATGAAGTGTGCGGGGGAGGATGGGTCAGACAGGGGTGGGGCCAGGCCTATCTCTTGAGTCCTGAGAGTCTATAAAAATCACCCTCTCCTTCCTGCAAACTCAGGGTACAAACCTAGGCATTCAAGCCAACTCACAGCTCCAGCCTTCCACTCCGCTGCTTAGCATAACCAGCAGCCCTACTCCAGAGGTGGCTGCATCTCAGAGCCGGGTGAGGGGTCCCTGAGTAATCTCCTCTCCACCCCCATGCGCCCACAGGATGCTGCCCTATGGCTGCCTGTCCATAGGGGACTGCGTGGGGCTGATTGAAGTGGTGAGGAGCTCGCACACCATCATGCAGATCCAGTGCAAGGGTGGCCTGAAGGGGGCGCTGCAGTTCAACAGCCATGCGCTGCACCACTGGCTGCGGGAGAAGAACAAGGGGGACAGGTGAGGTTGGGTCTGGACTGGGGGTGGCGTCTGCTCTAGTTGGAGGGTGGGGGCTGCAGGGGCCAGGGCAGGAGAGTCTGCAGAGGCGGATGAGGGTGTGTAATTAATCCCAGATGCTCTGGCTCAGTTATGACGCAGCCATTGACCTGTTCACCCGCTCATGTGCTGGGTACTGTGTGGCCACCTTTGTCCTGGGCATCGGAGACCGACACAACAGCAACATTATGGTGAAGGACGACGGGCAGGTGAGATGCCCCTTCACCGCCATTCCCTACCCCTCCCATGCCAGCCAGTCACCGCCCTGGCGCTGGGAGCCAGTACCTGCTAGAAGGGACAGGCCCTGTGCCCCAGGCCTCATCTGAGTCCTTCTCCTAGCTCTTCCACATTGACTTCGGCCACTTCTTGGATCACAAGAAGAAGAAATTTGGCTACAAGCGTGAACGGGTCCCCTTCGTCCTCACCCAGGACTTCCTCCTCGTCATCAGCAAAGGGGTGCAGGAGTGCACCAAAACCAAGGAGTTTGAGAGGTGAATCCCCCTCCCCACTGCCCTCTCAGTTCCAGGGAGAGTCCTGGCTCCCAGCTGTGATCCCCCCAGCCACTTCTCCCAGAAGTCCTGGCTCCCAGCATCAGGGCAGAGACCCCAGCATACTGATCCCGGCTGCACCCGGCAGGTTCCAGGAGATGTGCTACGCAGCCTACCTGGCCATCCGGCAACACGCCAACCTGCTGATCACCCTGTTCTCGCTGATGCTGAGTTCAGGGCTGCCGGAGCTGCAGAGCTTTGACGACATCGCCTACCTGCGCAAGACACTGGCGCTCGACACCTCAGAGCAGCAGGCCCTTGAGTACTTCACCAAGCAGATGAACGAAGCACACCACGGCGGCTGGACCACCAAGATGGACTGGATCTTCCACACCATCCGCCACATGCCCCTCACTGAGGCAGGGCATGACTGAGGGGCTGGGGCGCTGCCTGCTGAGGGGGCGTGGCTATTGCACTAGGCCCTGCCCCTGGTGCCTGACCCCACCCCCTTTGTCTTGGGGTGTGTCTGAAACAGGGGTGGAGCCATATCTATAAGCCCCGCCCCTTCTGGAGGGGAATGGGCCTTGAGTGACAATAGGGTATGGCAACTGGTATCCCTCCTCTTTGGGGGTGTGTCACAGGAACACAAGCTCCACCCTCCTTGCTCAGGCTTCCTTGCTCCTCCCACTGGTGAAGGACCCAGAGGGCCTGGGGTGGCAGGGGTGGGCTTAGAGAAGGATTCCTTTCCCCTCAGAGAGTGTAGCCAAGCACCAAAGCTCCTCCTTGTGCCTTGTGCCCCTCCCATTCTAGGTGTGGGCAGGTAATGGAGGGGCTGGGGCCTTGAAGCTCCACCCTTTTCATAGGAGGAAGTGAGGGGTAGGGGGTGAAATGCATTAGGCCCTCCCTCTTGGGGCAGCAGCCAGAGAGCCTTAAACACTCCTCATGGGGGGGGGGTCTGCACTGAGGGGGCAGAGCCAGTACCAAAGCTCCTTCTCGTGGGTAGAAACCCCCCCCCCCAATCACTGCTCTCTGTAGGGGATGGTCCTATCCCTTGTACCTCCAACCCCACTCAGAAATTTGGGATCAATAAAGGGAGTTTGGTCACTGTTTTTGAGGGAGAAACACCTTGTAGCCCCCTAGTCATCCCCTTCAAAATCTTCCCATGCACCTGAGCCCCTACCCTCGTCTAGACTTGATTTCTGTCCCCCCATCTGCCTGGCGGGGGGAGGCTGAAGAGGGTGGGGGAAGGGAGGGGCAGATACTTGAAATTTGTGCCTGGATAATATATTTTCCCAAAATACAATTTTAAAAGTAGCCCAAACTGGCTCTGAACTGCAGTGGGGAGGCTGGGCAGGGGGAGAATACCTCTCTCGCCCCTCGACCAGCCTGGCCCAGTGATCCCTGGGTATGGGGTGCAGTTGGTGCCACAGATGTGGGCAGTGGCACATGGAACAATGCCAGTGCCCCCCTAGAGGGGACAGGCCTCTTCCTCATTCCCCAGCCCTTCTGAGTCTGCCAGTCCCTGCCCTGGGGCTGGATGGGAGCTCCCCCTAGAGGGGACAGGCCCATGTGCAGGGGAAACCTGGGAGGCATTGGTGCGGGGGAGGTTCAGGACCTGGAGGTTCCTGGAAATAGAGACACAGGCAGCTGCATCATTTTTATTGTGTTTTCTGCCTGGGGAGGGAGGGGTCACCATTCCAAGGGAGCTCCCTCCACATTAGGGCTGGGGGAAGTAAGGCACACAGAGGGGGAGGAGCTAGGTAGAGAGCATTAGGAAGAACCCAGGAGTCCTGGCTCCCCACCCCCTGCTCTAACCCACCAGCCCCCACTTTCCTCCCAGCGCTGGGCAGAGAACCCAGGATTCCTGCCACCAGAGGCCGCAGCCCAGGGGCTCTGGTGAGATGGGCCTGTGGACTGTAGTGGAGGGAGGCAGGGACATTGCGAGGAGCTGGATGCTGCTTGTCCATTGATCTTTCTGATCTTAATGATGATACAGCATGCTACTGGGGGAAGGGGTTTGGCATCCTCTCCTGTGAGGACAGTACCCCCTGGTGGCAATACTCTGGCCTGATCACTAGGCCGTTGAAGTCAACCTCCATGACTGAAAGGCCTGTAAGTCAGTCTCCATGGTGACCATGTGTGACAGGAGTGCCTGGGCATGGTTTTATCGGTCCAGAGCGACTCCTTAACCCTTTCCTCCCCAGTGTGGGGCTTGTGTCTCACAGCCTCCCCTTCAGATCTTCCTCCTACTCTCTTCCCAATCCCAAAAGAAAAAAAGTGTTGTGTGCCCCTGTCCTGGGTGGCGGAGTACCTGGAATGAGTAGTTTATCGCTTGGGAGAATAGCTTCATACTGGACACAAGACTAGGTGTTATTCTCTTTTGCCTCTTGGGACAACGCAGCCCAGAGGCCCACTTCTAACTCATCTGTCTGGGGGCTCAACAGCATGGATAAATGTGTGTAAAATAAAATTAGCCCCTATGTTAGCTGGTCTCGCAATGTCTTGAAGACTCTCACATGCCTCCAATCATTGCACCTTCCTGGGTCAGGTCTGTCGGTGTGGTGGTGGGTATAGAAGCTACTGCTTCTGACAGAGGGTTAAATCTATCACACAGCAATAAAAGGAACCATTCATAAAGGGTGCGGCCACTGATAAATTAACAGAAGGAGGCAGCAGGCCTGGGGGGGCAAGAAGAGAGCAGGCAGCAAAAGGGGGCCTCCAATATGGATTCAGATTTGGGGGGAAGAATGCCAGGGTCCCTCTGGGGGGAGATTGAAAAGGAAGGGGGGTGCAAGAGAAGGGGCCACAGATTGGAGGGCTCAGAAGGGTTGCGCAGGGGGAGATGTGGGTGGGTAGAATCTAGGGGTTCAGTGGGGGGGAGGGATCAGCTGGGCTGGCAAGTGGGGGGGGGCAGGGATTTGGGAGTGGGCAGAGTTTGGGGCAAGGGCACAAACAACTTTGCATGGTGGAGGGACCCTGGGGGATTGGGTGAAGATGGGGAGATGGGAGGACTGGGGGGACAGGAGAGGGTAGGGAAGCCAGGGGATTCCCCAGGGGGCTCAGAAGTTATTGTCAATGTCCCATACTTCCCCGCTCAGAGCATTGGCTGCCCCCTGCAGGGTCCAGGTGACCAGGGCCAGCTGGCGCCGGAAAAGTGCCTCATTGAAGCGCCCGGGTGCCTCCCGCAGCAGCCTCAGATGCTCCAGCAATGCCTGCAATGTGTGGGCCCCCCGTCCATGCAGGATGTGCCGGAAGGGCGTCTCCGTGACTGACACGTAGGGGGACAGGAAGTAGAACTCCACCTGAGGGGGGCAGGGTGGTTAGGAGAATCTGACCCCCAAACCCTGCCAGGACCCCCCTCCTCCCTGCAACCTGTGGGGCAGAAAGGCAGCCAGGGAGGCAGGTTTGGCTGTGCAGCACACCTGGCCCCCTTGGCAGCAGGGTGGCAGAGAGTGGTGGCCATGCGACAGGGCCTCCTCCAGCGCAGCAATGCATGCAGCCAGTCGTGGCCACACAACGCCATGCACCAGCGCAGCAGCACGGCACCCAGTGGCAGACTCGCATCAATGCGCGTCCCACTGCAGCAGACGCAGACAGGCATGCCAGGGTCAGGGAGGCGCATGCAGTGGGTGGGAGGCTGCAGGATGATGCACCCCCCATCCCCTGCTCACCCGCATGATGCGGACATTGTACATTCGGTTGAGCCGCTCGTTCCGCTCGTCCGAGCTGTAGATCTCCTGTCGCAGCTTCTCGGCCGCCCGGATATAATCACCCCGTGCCGAGTACATCCACTGCAGGGTTAGTCCGCGGCTCTGGGGGTGGGGGAGAGAAAGACTCCCCTCAGCCTGCTGATGCCCCTCACTCCCGAACTGCAGCCTCTCCAGCACAGCCCTGCCCCTCCCCAGCCCTGCCAGTGCCCCTCACTCCCCACCCGCAGCCCCTTCCAGCCCAGCCCTACGCTCCCCCAGCTCTAGTTACTCACCTCACTGAACCTCCAAACCCCACCCACCTGAGCTATATTCCCCTCCATGGGCCTATCCACCCCCTACACAAACTCAGGTCTGTGCCCCATGAGATTCCGTGCAGGGCAAATGGAGGCAGCCCTGGATCCCCCTGGGGACTGCTGGGGGCTGGTTCCCCTGGCACTACCTTTAGCTCGCTGCTGTACAGGTTGAACGGAGTGATCTGCTGCACTAGAGCATCGCCGTAGCAGGCAAAGTCCAGGGGCACCAGGTGGTCATGGGTCAGCTTAATCAGCAGCTGCCCCACGACCTCAGCCACAGATCTGGCCACAGCCGGGAGCCGCCCGAAGAGCAGCGCATTCAGGTTCTCGTAGGTGTCATCCTGGGTGTTCAGGAATGGGTAGAGGCGGCCGTCCTGTGCGGGAAAGTGTGAGAGTGGGGCTGTGGATCAGGAATGGGGCACGGGGAGGGTTGGGAGGGGCAGAGATGGGCTGCAGGTCAGGAGTGAGGGGCAAGGGCTTACCTCGGTGAAGGAGAATTCTACTCCCGGGACGCCAGCGAAGGTGATGAAGGTGTAGGCGCTGCTGTCCATGGAGAGTGGCTGCATCCTGCAGGGGAGAAGAAGGATCAGAGCTGGGGAGAAAGGGAGCCAAGGTGGGGGTCCCCATTGTCCCATCCTGGGCTGCCCCAGAGACAGCCCTGGGGGCAACAGGAGGACATGGGACAGGCAGGAGGCTTGGGCCCTGCATCTGTGGCTGGCTAGGGAGTTGGGTTCAGGGCTAGGATAGCAGCACAGGCCAGGTTAGGGCATCAATGGGCTCAGGGGGTCAGCGTTTAAGGGTCAGTGATACTTGGAGTCAAAGATGAAAGCAGGAAGGTCAGAGGTTGGAGGTGATGGGACACAATTGGCCACAGGAAGCTTCTGCCCGTGGGCAGGGTCAGTGTAAAAAGAGGGTGGGACCAAAGTCAAAGGTCAAGAAAGCTCAAGATTATTGTAAGGTCAGAGGTGAAGGGTCACTGGTGGCTAAGGTCAACACACAGGGCAGAGACTACAAGTTAAAGGTCACATTTGAGAGGAGCCTGTGCACAAGGGGACAGAGGTGAAGGGTGGGAAGTAAAGGGCCACGCTGAGTAGGCATCAGCATGAGAAGTGGCAGAGGTGAAGGGTCCCTGCTAGGCAGGGTCAGTGTGGGCAGAGGCAGAGGGAGGAAGTGAAGGATCCTTGTGGCCCAGGCGTGAGCGCCACTTACACAGTCCCAGGCCGGTCTGGGAAGGTCACCTGCTCGTACAGACTCTGGCTGCTGCGGTTCGGGCTGTCGACCTGGTGGGCAGGAGTCAGGGTTGACCTTTGAACTTTAACCCCTGACCTTCCAACCCCTGACTCTGTGGCCCTCTGACTCACAGAGTCAACTAATGCAGGGACCCTGACCTTTAACCTCTAACTAAACCTTCCGCATAGGTGGATCATAACCAGACACCTCTAATGGAAATGAACCTTCCCTGACCTCTCCCCCTACCCTCCTCTAACCCCCGCTCTGCTCCAGACTCCTGGATCCCAACCCCTGCTCTGACCCACCAGCTCCTACTGCCCTCCTAGAGCCGGGGAATTAACCCAGGAGTCTGGAGACTACCCCCACTAGGGTTGCCAAGTGTCAGGTATTGAACTGGACAGACCAGTATTTGCACCTTCTATCCAATAAATAAATTGAGAAAATACCGGATATACAGAATGTCCAGTACTTCTCCTGGCTCGGTGCCTGATGGACATGCGGCAATGGCGGGGGGAGTGTCAGGGGAGCGGGCCCGCTAATTAAAGGGGCTGGGACTGAACGCCTGAATTTTGGCGGCCTGGGAGACTTTTGGGGTGTTTTTTGCTCAACCAAAATTTCCCCGGTGTTTTTGTTTGGCGGGAGGGGGAGGGGATGGGGGGGTCAACAAAAATCTTCCTGTTTTTTTATTTTCCTGGCTCTTTTGGGGGGGGTGAGGGGTCCTGTATTTTTGCTGAAACCATCTGACAACCCTAACCCCCACCTGCTTGAGGACGCTCTCAATGAGGCTGACGAGTACAGGGCTGGTTTTGGCGTAGAATTTGTCATCTCCTGCCATTTAGGGGAGGAAAGAGAAACCCATTAAGGTGGGTCAGTCCAACAGCAGAGCCTTGATTCCCACCCACCCCACTTTGTGGGGATATTCCCTACCCCTACCCCTACCCCTACCCCTGTGGGTGGTGGAGCACTGATCTTGGAGCGAACCCAGGAGTCCAGGCCCTGTTGCGTACCTAGCACGGCGTTGTCCAGGCTGATGTATGCCACAGCTTTGAGGTGCAGCATGGTGAGGTACCCCTGGAAGGGAAAGGAGGTTTGGGAGGAGGTGAGTTACAATACGGGGTGATCCAAATTCAACAGCCCTCAGCTCATCAGGAGGGCCCCACCGAATTCAGGGTCCACTTGGGTTCTTTTCACAGTGGTAGGATTTTAAACATGGAACATTTCATGCTTTCTGCCATTTTGGTCTGAAACATCATGGTAATTGTGGGGCCTAGGCTCCTGGAGGGGATGTGGGAAGGGCACAAGATTATTGTGCAGGGGTTGCGGTGTTGCAACCCTCACTGCTGCGTGCTGTTGGTGCTGCCTTCAGAGCTGGGCAGCCAGAGAGAGGCAGCTGGTGGCCAGGAGCATGGTATGGTGTTGCCGCCCTCACATTGACTCAGCTGCCATCAGAGCTAGAGCCTGGCTCAGCAGCTGTCTCTCTCGGGGCACCCACCTCACGGTAGCACAGACATAAGGGTAAATATCCTTGTGCCCCGCACCATCCTGCAACTTCCTTTTGGGTCAGGACTCCCAATCTGAGGAAGGCTGGTCTCCCCCAGGAAATCTCTATAGTAGAAGGTAAAAGTGCAGGAAAGGCCACATTTCATGGTCTGTGGTGTGTTTTTCATAGCTGTGACTTTGGTTGGAACCCACTCATCAGGGATGGAAGTGGCTATTTACCCTCCTTACCACACAGTGGTGCATGCAGCCTTATGACTCCTGGCAGACTACAAGAGAACCCAGGAGTCCTGCCCCTGCCCCACTCTAACCCACCAGCCCCCACTCCTTTCCCAGCATTGTGTTTTGGCTGGGGTGGGGGGAACAGGAGCAGTAGGCTCCGTAGGTGTGCTAGAACTCTCTCCCTCCCCTCCCCTCCCCCACCCCACAGAGGGGACCCAAGCATCTGGTTACCTCTAGCCATTCGGTGGAGCCAATGCTGCCAAAGTCTCCTGCATCCCAGCTAGCAAAGAGCAAAGTGCGGCGCAGCTGGAAGCCTGAGAGAGGAAATGAAATGAGCAGGAGGGCAGCCTCAAACCCAAGCATCCCAGGATCCTGGGAAATTCTATCCTACCCCTTTAAGATGGCCATCTTTTTTGACAGGCTGATGACTATTCTCTTCTCCTTGGGGAAGCAAGGTCCCCATCTGATGGCCAATCCCGCCCCCTCAACCAGCCGCAGCCCCTGCTCCCTAGTACCAGCCCCACACCTCATCTGGTCCCATCCCTGCCCTATTTGGTGCCAGCAACACACTCTTAGCCAGCCCTTCCTCCTGCTTCCCTGGTGTTGCCCCACCCCATTAACCATCCCTGCCCCCTCAGACATCCCTTCCCCTGGTCCTCTTACCATTGCGCACCATGGTGGAGAAGGTCCGGGCCAGCTCTAGTAGCAGGGCTGTGCCCACACCTGAGCCGGCTGCCCCGGGGCCCAATGAGTCCCGCTGGGCCCCGACAATCACGTAGTGATCTAGGGGGGATGTTATTGAATTTTTTAGATGAACATACATTATTGCAACCTGTGTTTGCATCATATCTAGCGCCCTGTGAGGTGTCTGTCGAAAGCTGATGATTCACTGGCTCTGTTTGTGCTGCTCATGGGCAGGTGTCATTTTTGTATTTGAAGTTCTGAGAACTGGCTCTGTCCTCGCATTCCAAATGTTCGCTCCTGGGAGTTATCAACAGGCGTCGCCCAGCCATTGTGTAAGGCTACATCTAGACTGCAGAATTAAATTGGAAAAAGAGACACAATTTGCAGTACGCAAATTGCAAATCTTTTTCCGATTTACTTTCAAAAGAGGCGTTTCCAAAAATTGGCGCATCCTCACAGAGCCAAATTTTGAAAAAAAGTGCTCTTTCGACACATCCCTTATGCCTTGTAGAATGAGGTTTACAGGGATGGCAAAGAGCGCACCTGCTTTTTTGAAAAAAATTTCAGAAAAGCAGACACATTCCTTGCATGTGGCATTGCTTTTCCGGGATACCCGGGGTATCCCGGAAAAGCAATGCAGTCTAGACAGAGCCTAAGGGTGGCTAGTCACGTGACTTGCAGCACTTCGCTGGCAATGGGTGGCCTGTGGTGCCGATCCACAGCTGAGGAACTTGGCTGTGATGGTTCAGACCAGCCCTTGAGTGATGGCTGCTAAGGCCTGAGTCAGGCATGGACAGTGACTGGTCACGTGACAAATGCCATTGCGGGAAGCACTTTCACAGCAGGAGAGCAGTGGGATTCCCTCTGCGTGGGCAAGGGTAGAACGAGGGCCCTGAGGGCTCCTCCAGCTTTGTCTTCACTCCAGCTCATCCCCTCAAGGACATGAGCCCGAAAGGACTGATGACCCACCCTAGCAGAGGACGTCTTCCAGGGACACAAGACAGCAGTTTATTCCATCTCTGCTATAGGCCTCACCAGGAACTTTGTAATTGGCGTGTGCAATCTGTTTCTTCAATTGTTTTATTTCCAACCTTTTCTTTCTTTTATGAATAAATCTTTAGCTGTTAGATTCTAAAGGATCGGTGCAGCGTGCTCCTTTGGGTGGGATCTAAGGTATAAATTGACCTGGGACTGTGACTGGTCTGTTGGGTTCAGGAGAGCCTGCTGGGTTTTGGTGAGATGGGTTTTCATAACCTCTCACCTGTGTAAGAGCTGCGCTGGCTGTGGCACAGGAGAAGCTGGGTACCTAAGGGGGTTGCTTGTGTGACTTCTTGCTGGCCAGTGTGGCAAACAGAAGTGCTTTTAGTGACTGGTTTGGTGCCTTATGGAGGAGGACCCCCAGTCTTAGACTGTAAGTAGCCCTGGTTGTAAGCAATTCACCCTGATATGAGCTCTCGGTGATGTCCCCAGAATCTGTAATATTACAGGGGGAGCCAAGATTTGGGGGAAAGAAGACTCTGTCCCCCCCACCCACTGCCCCCTCCCAACACACCCCCAGTCCCTAGTTCCCCCACCTCTCCATGTCCCACAGCCCTCCCAGGCATCCACCCCACCCCCAGTCCTCTTCCTATTCCCCCACATCAATTTCTCCCACCCAACGAGCCATCCTCTTCCCCTCTCCACACCCTTCCCCCAGCCTCACCAGGTTCAAATCTCCCCTCAAGGCACCCGAAGATGTTGCTGATCATGGTTGAAGTCTTGATGTTGTTCACCTGGAGATGCACCCGGGTGCCTGAGTCCCCGGGGCCAAGGTGGTATGGGACCTCGGCCAGGCGGCCCTTCCAGTTGCGTGGGGCAGCCAGGCCTGTCAGCTTACTGCAGGGGAAGGAGAAGGGTATACCTGAGATCTTCCCCCACTAGGGATGTAAACGACTAGTTGAGTAGCTGATTACCAGATAAGCCTCGACTTGCTGGACAGTCGAGTGACTAAACTACTCGCTCTCCCCTCCCCTGCCTCTATATCTTAAAAGCTGGTTCCCCCTAGCATCGTCACTGTGGTGCGCAGTAGGGGAGCAGGGTAGGCAGAGTCACAATGGTCTCGGAGCTAGCGTGAGACAGAACTGCTCAATCCCAGTTTGCATGGGCCCTGGGAGCTACCCTGGCTGTGGCTCTGCAGTTCAAATGTAATAGGAGCCGGGCTGCCTGCGCACCTGGCTCCTACTACATTTAAGCTGCAGAGCCACAGCAGGGGTGTATCCTGGACCTGGCACAAACAGGAACAGAGTGCCTTCCCGTATCGGCTAATCGTGTAGTTGATAACAATTGTATCGACTACATGATTAGCCAATTACCCACCTCGTAACATCCCCCACCACAGTCCCAGAGCCAGGGAGAGAACCAAGGAGTCCTGGCTCCCAGCCCCTCTGCTATAACCCACCAGCCCCCGCTCCCCTCCCAGAATCAGGAAGAGAACCCAGACATCCTGCATGCCCCCTTACCTGAGGAGGCGGGCGGCTGTACTGGCACTGATGGGGTGGGCTGGGATACTGGGCAGCCCAGAAGACAGCACAGGGGGGAACTGGGTGTGATTGAAGGAGGGGAAGCCAGGGGTGTAGGGGTCGCCGGTCCCCATGTGGACCTGTGGGAGGCATATACAGCAGGCGTGGGAGGGAGGCAGTGCCCGCCCACCCTGCTTCTTGCCCTGCTGACATTTGCAGAGGTAAGCACCTGTTCCCCTCCAGGCTAGATTCCCATTTCACCCCTCCCCCACTCCCTGATCACTGTACGTGATGATGTGGGGATTGAATTCACTGTTTCACTTTGTTATGTTGCATGTGTTTTCTACTGTGCTGTAGTAACCCTGTGTGCGTGCCTCAGTTTCTCTGGGCACTGACCAGTACCTAGATCTGATGGGCATTTCAGTGTGTCAACCTCCCCCACGTACACAGTGGCTGATGCTTTCTGCAACCTGAGCCTGGGAAGCGGGTGTGACCAGGTGACACCTTTTGCCCAGGAAGCTGGACAAAGGCCAGAGGCAGGACTGGGGTGGGCTGCTGAGTGTGTGAGAGGCTCTCGCTGGCCTGGGGGTGCATTTGCAGAGATGGATGGTGCTGGCTGCTTCTGGTTCCTGCGCTGACAAGTCTGTTCCTCCCTGTGTGCCTGTCGACTAACAGACTTTCTGTTCTACCTGCCAGCTGTTGTGAGCTGGTCCCTCAGAGATTCCTCTCCACACCTGCACCAGCTCCCTGTAAGCTCATCAGCCAATTGCCCTGTGCTGGGTTGGTCTTTCGGCTTCTTGTCCACCAACCACATCCTCAGGTCAGGGGGCCGCATTCATACAGCTGCTCAAGCTCCACCATCTCAACCAGGTCCTTCCCAGTCTGGGCCCCAGCCCAGTACTTGCAATCCGTGCATGTCTCTCACTCCTGGCTGGCGAAGGGAGGGGGCAGAGGAGTAAATCATGGACTCCAAGTACTTTCCCCTCGCTCCCTGATGGTCTGGGAACAGGATGAAAAACAAGCTGCGTCCCAGTGCGCATGGCTGCTGCCCCCCTGCCCTGCCGAAACTCCGCCCTTGAGTAAGTGACTGAGGTGCAGTAGAAAGAAGGGGAACTAGCAAGCGACAGGTACACTGAAGGCCAGTGAGGAGCGGTCCCAGGAAGCGGAGGGGCCTA